GTACAGCCAAGGAGGAACGGGAATGTCATGATGTCTCCCTAATTCATCTTGTAGTCTGCTCAATAATTTGTGGGAAATAAGAAATAGCCCTTATGCCTGGTATACCTATCTCAGGGGCACAGATGAATGCTCACCCTTATTTGAGCTGTTTATAAGAAAATCACATTTATCAGCAAGAGCCTGAGGTTCCAACCAGCTGGCTGGAATGTGGACTGCCAACTGCAACGATAGCTCAGTGTTTCTGGACGATGATTTGCCCTACCATATAGGGCAGAGGCTTGAAGGCATGAGAAAAGGTTGCTGCAACACCTTTCTGGGCGTTCTGCCCCTCTAAAAATTAACTAGTCCGTGTTGTGATGCCCTTTGTGTTTTTGTGGAAATGGCTGTATAAAACTGGCAGCCAATGTGAGCATTAAGGCTTACAGTGCACACTTAATGAAAGACTCCTGAAGACTGAGTGTGTATGTGTGTAAGGGGATAATGTAGTCCCCTTCTGTCTTCCTCAGCCTTTATTCAACTTATAGCATATAGAATTTTCTGTATTTTAAACTCCAATGGATTTGAAGGAAATAGACATGGAACTAGAAATGAGATCTACAACTGGATTTAGGATCTTCTCTGACATTCTATTTTTACTTCCTTTTTCCTGTCTGGAGAAATGCTATTGCAGTATCTAGTTCTAGAATGTTGGGGTTAAGTGCTAGAATAAAAACAAACCTAGAATAAAAAACTATTCATTCCAAACCCAAAAAGCCTTCTGGATTTCCAGCAAACACTTTCACAAAAGTACTTTGATAATTAATTTACAAAGTATTTTAAAAAAAATTTTTTTTGAGAAGAGTAGACTGATTAAACCCAACATAACATTTACTGACAGGAGACACAAATCAGGTTTCCTTTCCCTTAAGTTATAAGGAATACCAAGTGGCAAATGCCTCTTTTCCCACACTAGCTATATGATAAAAATCAAAAGGCAATATTCTGAAATTCTGAAATTTTAGAACAGTTTTTCAAAACCTTGACTTTGGAATCAAATCAGAGTTATGAATACAGCAAAACAATCCCACCCAGAGCACCCATGTGTGCTATCTTCTACATGCAATAAAATAGCTCATTTCCCTTTTCTGTTAAAATGATTTCACCAAGTATCTGGCATTTACAGCTAGCACTGCACTAGTGAGGGATTTTCACTCTGTTCTTTTATTCAAATGGAGGTTTCCCATGAAATGATAAGGAACATTTCAGAATTGTGACAGAAACATTAATAACTCTGCATTGCCCAATTTTAAACATGTTTAAATATAGAGCATTTCAGTATATAAAGCAGGAACATAAGTGCTAGTGTCTCAGGAACTTTTAGTATACACTGCTGAATATACAAATGTACATGTTTCAAAACCACACAGACATGAAAACTTGCAATTCAGAACCTAAAGTAGTTCAATAAAAAGAATAAAATAAAAAATTTCTTTCTGTCTAATGGTAAAGTACTCTAATGCTGCTATTTTACAAAGGAAAATTAATGACCATTTTTTACAAAGGAAGCAGGTCTTCTCTGTAGTTTAGAACTGATTAGTAAATGGATATGCAGGAAGCTTTTTGTGGAATGAGACAAATATGAGTCTGTGCACTTCAATCTATTTTATACATGTTCTGCAAGACCTCAACAACTAGAGCTAATGCTCCCTCAGCTCCATTGAACTAATTAAGCTAGGTCGTTATATTAATAATCAGTTGCCCTTCTGTCTGCATTTATGGCACTTAGCAAGTCAGTGCAAGAGTGAACACTTTTCTCACGAAGAAGAGAGCTCCTGACAATGAATTAGATTAATCCATCAAGAGAATTAATGTGACTTGATTACTGAAAAATCTGGCATACACAAACAGGTATCTGCAGCTGTAGGAAGTAAGCAACAACACTCCAAAACACAGAGCAAGGCCCTGAGCCTGTACTATTGAATAAAGAGGTGGCTGACACCAAGACATGGTGACAGGCTGCTGATGTGGTACATGCAAAGGGTGCCACAGGATCTCAGTGTTGCTATCAGTGCTTAGGTTAACTCAGCGGAGTTGATATTTTACCACAAATAGTTCTAATGCCACTTGTCATGTAAAAATACCTCAGTGAATTAGTTTCAGTTCTCTTCTTTAAGAGGCATGAAAGAGCAGAGATACTTGAAAAATAATTAAGAAAAACTCTGCAGTCACTGCCCCAAAAATATAAAATTGACTGCACTTTGGGCATGGCTTTGACAGCTTTCTTGTTTTGTCAGTTCTTTCAGCAGCCTCTTCACCTCCTTCAGTTCACTTACTAATAGAGTGCCATAGACAAAGTTCCTAATGGTTTGGAACATTAGTCCCTAAGCTGGTGATAACTGGCTGAGAGCAGAATGCAATAATTCTCCTGTATCATAAATACTAAAATATAATGAAAAGTTGATAGCTGGGATAAAGAAAAAGGTTTCAAAATTGCTGAAGTGGAAATTTATAAAGAACAAAGGTTTTCTTCTTGGTAGAGACAAATATGCATGACAACTTCTATGTAGTATGATTTAGTATGAAACAAATAAAAAAAAAAAACAACCCTAAGTTTTTAAAGTGATCTTAATGCTGCCTCCTAAAATTAATGGGCAGTTTCAGGATTTCTGTTATCAAGAACGCAGATTTAGAGATTTATCAATCAGTGGCTGCACCAAAGGGGAGAAACACTTGGCTCATAGACTCACACCTACAGACCCACCGTATTCAATTTGTTTTTCTCATACATAGTGAGAAAGGCACGAACTGATTCAAGTCCCACAGAAGTGTTCTTCAGCCTCTCCATGTCCCCTCTGCACTCCCACTCACAGGCTGAGGATCCCAAGATTAGGACTAGTGAACTGCCAAAGACCTTTGTAGGCACTGGAGTAGGGAACAAATTGCCCATATGGTTTGTTAAACAAACAAACAAACAAACAAAACTGTCTATTCAATTAAGCTATTTGTTTAAAACAAGATATATTGAAGTAATTTAAAACGTTATGGGTACAAATTTGTATAGGTATTTGTCTGCAGTGTAGCACTCATTTACAGATGAGGGTACCTGAGTGCTCTTAGGCCTCAAAGGCCTGATTCATGGCACTAATCTGTGTGTTCCCTAACAATACATGGCAATACAGGCAGCTTGACAAAGCCATAAAATAGCTATTTGGATGCATAATAGCAAATACATAGTAAACACAGTAAATTTTGAATCAAATCTGACAGCACGGGAATCACTTGGTGCAGCTTGCAAAGGAGGTATTAAGCTGAGGTATAACTACTAGTTTGACTAATGATGTGTACAGAACAAGGAGCTATTTCAATGAACACTAGAACAAGAGGTAGAAAAAATATCAAAACAAAATGATGCCCTGTGCAGGATATATTAAAACATTTTTGACTGTTATTTCAAAATCAAATTTCCACAAATAAAGAGAAAAATGTCATTCATTGTGGCACTTTTTGTAAAGTCGGAAGGTTAAAAGAAAATAATTTTGTAACCGAGCATAAAATAGGCATTTGAAAAATGATTTAGCTGGGAAAAAACACATTTTTCCACATTAAGATAACTTAAGAACACCCAAATTGATTTTTATTAGACTTCTCATAATCACTTCTGAGCTGACACATGCATGAGACATTCAGCCCCAAAGGTCACTTCTGAGAAAGCTATAAGTAACTGGAAACAGCACTGCAGGATGAAATGATGTCTCATTGCTGACTATTACTGCTGGAGAGTGATGAATATTTTACTCCTGAGGCTAAGAGACAGATCCTGTAAATAAATTTTTATTTCTTGGCAAGGCTGATCACTGAAACATGATGTGATAGAGATGGTTTTCACCATCATAGTTTTTTATTTAAAGAGAGGGCGAGATGGATGCTGGCAAGGCCTGTGGGCCTGTGTTGGAGGGAGCTCTCCACACACTCACTCCACGGCCAGCAGCAGGTGGTAAAGGGAGAGCCCTGGCTCCTCACACCCCATGGTGAGCGGCCATGGTCACGTCGGCACCCTCCTCCTCCTCTTTCACGCTGCCCCTGCCCGGGCTGCTCAACGCTCTTCTAAAACATCTGCTCGAATACCCAGTGCAAATCATAGAATCATAGAATTAACTGGGTTGGAAGAGACCTCTGAGATCATCAAGTCCAACCCTTGATCCAACCCCACTGTGATTTCTAGATCATGGCACTCAGTGCCACATACAGACTCATCTTAAAAACCTCCACAGGGATGGTGAATCCACCACCTCTCTGGGCAGGCCATTCCAATGCCTGATCACTCTCTCTGTAAAGAACTTCTAATATACAACCTAAACCTACCCCAGCAGAGCTTAAGCCTGTGCCCTCTTGTCCTGCTGCTGATTGCCTGGGAGAAGAGACTGACCCCCACCTGGCTACAACCTCCTCTCAGGTAGCCAGGAGAAGAGGAGGCTCAGGGGAGACCTTATCACTCTCTACAACTCCCTGAAAGGAGGATGTAGCCAGCTGGGAGTCGGCCTCTTCTCCCAGTTAGTGAAAGGACAAGAGGACACAGCCCCAAGCTGCGCCAGGGGAGGTTCAGATTGGACATTTGAAGGAATTCATTCACAAAAAAGTGTGATTAGATATTGGAATGGACTGTCCAGGGAGGTGGGGGAGTCAACGACCCTGGAGGTGCTTAAGGAAAGACTGGCCATGGCACTTAGTGCCGTGGTTTAATTGACAGGGTGGTGTTCGGTCACAGGTTGGACTCGAAGTCTCTTCCAACCTGATTGATTCTGTGATAACAAAACACAAGAGGAGATGCCTGGTGAAATACAGCTTTTTTCCAGAGCCGGTGGGCCAGCTCTGCTATCCACCCAGGGCAGTCGCGGAGCACTCCCTACTTGTGCCTCCCCACGGGGGTGATCCAGCCCTCCTCCTTCCCCGTTTTTTTCTGTTTCCACCGGCCCCGCCTCCTCACGGACCCGTCACGGTCGTGGCGCAGGCGCGGCTGGGCGATGTCGGCGGCCGTGGAGCGGCGCCTGGCTCAGTTCCGCGCCGCCCGCGGTAGCGCTGCGGCCGCTCCGCGCCCCGCGGACCCGCCGGGAGTGTCCGCGGCTCCGGAGCCCGCCGAGGGACCGCGGGCCGCAGTGGGCTCGGGCGGCGGAGCCGCTCAGGTGAGCGCCGAGGCGGGCGGGGCGAGGGTGCGGCGGCCCGTCGGTGCCTGACGCCGCGTCTCGCTGCCGTCTCCGCAGGTCCGTCCCGCCCCGGCGGCGGCGGCTCCGGTGTGGGCGCGCCCGCTGCTGCTGAAGGTGCTTCTCTGGGCCGTGCTGCTGGCGCTGTTCGCCGAGCTGGAGCTGGGGCTGCCCTACTTCGTCCTCTCCCTGCTCTACTGGATGTACGCCGGCACCCGCGGCCCCGCCGAGCGGCGGCCCGGCGAGCTCAGCGCCTACTCCGTGTTCAACCCCGGCTGCGCCGCCATCGCCGGGACGCTGACGGCCGAGCAGCTGGAGCGGGAGCTGCACTACCGGCCCGCCGCGGGCAGGTAGCGGCCGGCCCGGCGGGCACAGCCGCCGTGCTGGGCCGGACCCGCCGCCGCCCCACGGACCCGAGGAAGGGCCGGTCGTGGAGGAGACGGGGGTTGTCTCTATGCAAAACGCCTTCCGAGCCTTACTGCTGGCCCCGAGCCCCCCGGCGCCCTCCGGTCCCGAATAAAGCCGTAGCAAAGGCCGCGCTCTAGTCTGGTTTCCTGGGGCCGGGCAGCTGTTGCGGCCGCTGGCGGGCGGCCCCGAGAGGCACGGCCTTGTCACAGCGTGACTGTGGCTGCCAGCGTGTCAGCAAAAAAAAATAGTTATTCCTGGCTGGTGTACTTTTATGATACACCACTATTTTTAATATACAGATCATTGCATTAAACCAAATCTGCCCAGCAAAGTGGAAGAGTCACCATCCCTGGAAGTGTTCAGAAAACAGGTGAGAACACTTGAGAACATGTTTTAGTGGTGACTGTTGTGGTGGTGCTAGGTGGACAGCTGGACTTGACCTTAAGGGTCTTTTCCAGCCTTAACGATTCTTTGATTCAATGAAACCATTAAGTCATAGTGAAGAGCAGCTGCTAGAACTTGTGCCTCTGAGGACAAAGTTACTGAGAAAACCCACAAACTGGTCCTTCAAATCCTGCTTTGTAATTTAACAGTCTTTTGTAATTTAACAGTTAAACCAGGCTTGACTTACCACAAGTTTCATCACTGGTTGTGGAAACAAAAGGAATTGGTGTTTTCAATTTAACGGGACTGGAAAGAGATTAATAGATTAAAGCACACGTAATATATTAACACTGCTAAGCATCTCTCAGTAGTTAAACATCTCTCAGTAGCTCTCCACAGCACTCTCACAGCTTCTGTCTTGGGCTTTTGTATAATTTCCAAATGCTGCTATTTAAAGCCAACGACAGAAGTTTGTGATTTACACATATTCCACCATCCTCTAGTAAAAATCCCTCAGAGTTCTCATTATTATTACAGATTCCTTTTGACTGTACAAATAACAAAAGCACAGAGTATGCTGAGTTGGAAGGGACCCACAAGGATCACAGAGTCCAACTCTTGACCCTGTACAGGACCATCCTTGATGCTGTGACCACTTCCCTGGGGAGCCTGTTCCAGTGCCCATCCATCCTCCAGGTGAAAAACCTCCTTCTAATATCGAACCTAAACCTCCACTGACACAACTTCAGGCCATTCCCTCGGGTCCTGTCACTGGTCACCACAGAGAAGAGATCAGTGCCTGCCCTTCCTCTTTCCCTCATGAGAAAGTTGTAGACTGCAAAGAGGTCTCCCCTCAGTCTCCAGGCTGAACAGACCAAGTGATCTTAGCCACTCCTCACACAGCTTTCCCTCAAGGCCCTTCACCATCTTCATTGCCCTCCTCTGGACACTCTAACAGCTTAATATCTTCCTTATATTGCAGTGCCCAAAACTGCACACAATATTCAAGGTGAGGTTGCCCCAGTGCAGAGCAGAGCAGGACAATGCCCTCCCTCGATTGGCTGGCGATGCTTTGCCTGATGCCCCCCAGGACACGGTTGCCCTCCTGGCTGCCAGGGCACTGCTGACTCATATTCAGCTTGCCACTGACCAGGACCCCCAGGTCCCTTTCCTTGCCACTGCTTTCCAGCACCTCATTCCCCAGTCTGTCTGTACATCCAGGGTTGCCCCATCACAGGTACAGGATCCAGCACTTCCCCTTTTTGAACTTCACATGGTGGTGATTGCCCAGTCCTCTAATTTGTCAAGGCCTCTCTGCAGGGCCTCCCTGCCTTCAAGGGAGTAAACAACTCCTCCAGTTTTGTGACATCTGCAAACTTGCTTAATGTCCCTTCCAGTCCTGTGTCCAAGTCATTTATGAAGAAGCTGAAGAGCACAGGGCCTAAGATGGAGCCCTGCAGAACCCCACTAATGATTCTGCATTTTGGTTTTGATTAACATAGGCTCTGCAAGTGGTAGTGGACACAGATTAGCAAATATAAATCTTTGTCTCCTGAACAGTGAACCTTTCCATTCTTAAAAACTATACTAATTATAGGTCAAAAAGTAGTCAGATGATACTCAAAACACCTGTAAACAATGAAATTTTGTGAGTTGAAACTTTATTCACAACAATAAAAATAAACATCAGCGTAGTGTTTATGGGGAGTTGATAATCTGACATCCTGTACAGTTCGATTCTATGGGTGTTTTTTAAAACAAGGAAATACATGCAAATAAATATTAAATATAAGGTAAGATTTGGGAAATTATAAAACTTCATAGCAGCAATGCTGGAAATAAAGTTTTCACTTGCTATAAACTCTAGTTGCGTTATGTCCAGATGGATTTATAGGCTCTTGTATTTAATGCTTCATGAAACAAGTTATCACAAGAAGTGAGCATGAAGCTGGAAGGCACAAGAAATAAAAACTGACACAGTTCATCTGTTCCAGTGCTCTGTGTTGGTTTGCTTATTTCATGCTACCCAAATAAATGTACATTACACATTTTGAAATAGAGACGGCATGAATAACAAAGGCTTGTAAAAGGTTTTACTGAAGTAGATAAAGAATGATGGAGAAATTGGCATTGAGGCCTTGCTTTGTCTCTAAATACATGAATACTGTAATTCTGCTTTGGTGGCAATAACTTTCACTGAGTTATTCTTAGAGCGGATTTAAAAAAGTTTGAAGAAGTGAGAGCTTAATAAGAGAGGGAAAAAAAATTCCTCCACAACCCTCTGCTTGGGTTTCTCCACAACCCTCTGATCTCACTTTGTTACCCTTATTTTTCTCTTGTATTTTAACAAGGCAGAAGTTACCAAGATAAGTTTGACATCTGGTGCTGGAGCTATTCTTGTGGGCTCAAAGCGCTCATTTCACTTCTCAAATGACCAGGAGGGCCAAGAAGAGCCTACTAACTCAAAAACATGTCAAGCTGTTGAAAGAATCTTGTGACAGCAACTAAGTACAGGTTTGTTACCACACATGGAAATGCTCTCTATTCCTATGATTTCTTTCATTTGTTACGTACACTTTTTTCCCAGCATAGTAGTGAGTTAAAACACTTTTGTAACTTTCTGTTGTCATAGCAAAATTATCATCTTGCTAACAGCTGCGCATGCAGCAGAAACTTTTTTTCCCAGGTCTGCACCCAACTAAGTGGGGCCCTGGAAAACTAGTATCCACTCTTGAATATTAATGAGTGAAATTATTCCCTCCAATATGCATTATCCTACAGCTTCAAATTTCATCTGTCATCATGCTGCCTTTTCACCTACCAGTGACTATCAGTTTTTTCCTATTCAAAGCACATCAAAGTACATGGTAGATAAAAATATCAAGCATACTCTCTATGTATAGGAAGCTAATTAATTATATTTTAGGACACCAGTTAACATCTGCATGTGGTAGTCAAGTATTGTATTGATGGTCACACAACACAGAAGCTAGTTATTAAATTTACAGAAGAACCTGAGGTGCTTCATTCCAAAGTTAGCTCTGCAACTGATGTTAGGGAGGGAAGGCCTGGAAATGGCCCACATAGAAGCCAGCATGCTAAACATATATAAGCCAGCCTGAGAACTGTGGTGGATTTCTACAAACATGTCTGACTTTCTCCCTGGAGCTCAATTACAAGTATTATAGCAGAAGAAGGTAACACATCCTCTCTTAATTCAATTCTAACCTGGTGATTGCAAAACTAATCCACGCTGTTGGCAATTCGGATTCTAATACAATGATTAAATAACCCCATGCAAAGCAATCTAGCTTCAGGCAGGAAAGATGCTAAATTACATCCCAGAATATCCAGTCCATTTTCTTGGTAATGGGGGCTGTGAATGCAAGTGCAAAGAGACTTGAACACTGCGGGGGGGTGTGTGTGTGTTGTAGTAGTGGTGGTGGTGATGTGTTATTTCTAAGTATTTCTTAACTGCTATGCCATGGAAGTTACTTACTAAACAGTCTCTGAACAGGGAGATCTCAGGGCTAGTCTTTGGCATTTGGCCTCTTTGTTGTAAAGGGAGCCCGAATAACAGCTGAGTAAAGATGTGTAAAGCTTGTTATTGAGTGATGCAATGGATCACCTCCTGCTTGTAAAGGTACCTCTGTTTTTCCCCAGCAACTCTTGTAAACATCAGGGAGGGGAACACTAGGCAGTGCAGAAGTGCAAATGCAGTCACTGCAGGAGCCCTCACTGTTTTAATCTCACAAAAGCGCGTGGAGTTCAGGATAGAGGATAGTGGGTTTGGGTTTTTTTTTTTTTTTTTTTTTTTGAATCCCACTCATGGGAAGCAGACAGATTCTGGAGGAGGATGCCGGCCCACCCCGGGTGGGAGCTGTCCTCGGTACTGAACCCGTGCCCAGTGCAAGGGCTGCCTTCCCGCCCCTGAGTGTGGGTACCTCGTGTCTGGAGAAACGGACCAGAGCTGGAGGAGAAACAGAAGTGAGCCCACAATGCCAACTAGTGAATCTTTTCAATGACATGAGGTCTGTTAAGACCAGCAGTGGCCACCAGCTGACTTCTGTGTGCTTGCACCCACATGAAGCAGAGTAAAGCTTAGACAGAAAATATTCTCTTGAAGCAGAAGTCATTATCCCATCCCTGTGTGCCCACCAGAGGAGCAGAGTACCACTTATAATGGAAGTGCTGTGCATTTAGGGGACACTTTCATCCAAGTGAACAGAGACAATGTGTACCTAATTCTGTAATTCTAGCAGATGAGGCCCTTAACAGGTACTGGGTTTGGTGGTTGGTTTTTTTGTTTAGTTGGTTTGTTGTTTTTTGGGGTTTTTTTGCAAGTGAAGCTTAAAAGAGCATTCAGAAGTGTTCAAGTGTCCACCAAACTACCTGCTGTAAATTGATAAACCTTCAGGATGCTGTCCTTCACCTACATAGAAAACAGGTTAGCGTATTTTTTTCAACTTTAACTTTGGGAAACTCCTACTACAAAACTGGTTCTTCCCTGAAATGTGAGTTGTGTCCCATTATTTTTTTTTCTATAAATGGTGATAGCACCTTACCCTGTCCCCATAGAAGTCTAAATGTATTTTTTGGCAATAATCATATTCTGTATCCTTGTAATTTAATCAGTCAATCACTCAGCTCGCCTACTCAACAGTAATAAGCCATTGACCCTGTGGTTTCAGACTGGATCAATGCTATGCTTAAGTTTTGGACACCTGGAGGCCTTGTGTGCAAATAGGAAGAAACTCTTTTAACTTACTTTAGACGTGATCAATGTTTTCCTCTGATGATGCTAATGATTACATTAGCAGATTGCTTTCCCTAGAAACCTTTGTCCAACAGGCTGCAGGCAATGAGCAGCATATGCTTAAGTTTCTTGCTGGAGATGGCATACTTAAGCCACTTGCTGGGGTATTTAAGGGTTTTCAGGTATATTACACAGTTCATTGTTCTCAGTCTGATTCACCTGCAGAAATCTCAGCTGAACGTGGCCTGACAAGTGGCAGCATAGACGCTACTGCCTACCGTGCCTCCGCTACTGATGCTGTTGGCTGGACACTTCAGAGGTTTCATACTGCTGTCTCTCTGGACATACAGATGTTCTAATCTCCAGCGCTCCCAGCTTTTCCGAAATTCCATCTGAACCTAACAGAAGCAAAGAAGAAAACAAAGGGAATGAATGTAGAACTAATCAGCTCTTTAAATGACTCCATTTGCATTAGAAAAGAGCAAGGGAAAAAAGGGGAAAAGAAAGATACCACACTACTGAGAAAAGCTGAAAATGCTTTAAACCCTGCAATATTATTGCTTCAAATTATCCAATTATCTCATTAGTCTATTGTAGGGTATTTCACATTTAAAATAATGACATTCCTGTTTACCTGTAGAAATAAAGCTCCTTTATGCACCAGAAAAATCTTACCTTCATTATTTTACTTGAAATCGTATTCACCTGCAATACTGATTGTACTCTGTGCCCTACCAATACTAACAATTAAGTTGATTTTGCTTATCAGCCATGAAATGTCTGAAAAGATTGGCTTCCTGCTCAATACTGTCACCACAGGTATTCTTAAGGGTTCTGTTCTAACTTCTGGTTTGATTTAAACATTATTATGTCCTGGATTATTTTTGTTCTTTGAATTTTTATGTAAGTTTTTTTATTCCATACAAAAATGAAGATTTATTCAGATTTCAAAACAACAATTAAGCAGAGTGAAGACTGTACTTGCTCCCCCTGTTTAAATAGCAATTCTAGTATCTTGTTCCAGATACTAGCTTTTTTTTTAAAGCTACAAAACATACTGATCTAGGTCTGGGCTAAACTGTGTAACCTCTGCACTCATTTGGAAGTTTATCCAGGGTCTTTTCACTGCTACACAAGAACAGAATTTAGATCTTCCAGTTCTATGGGCAAAGTTCTTGCCACTTGACCAAAGTAAGAAAGAATCTCCATTAGCTTTTAACACATAAGGCAGAGGACAGAAAATTGGTACTCTAGATAGGAAGGCAGGAGTGCAACTACAGTTATCAATTCATTATGGCGTGTACTTCAGCCTGGAAATAAGTTCACTACAGGTGGGTCACTCAAGTGAGCCTTCTCTGGAGAGATGCCTTCTGTTTCCTTTTAGGATCTGGTACTGACCACCAAGAGACTAAACAAGCTGATGGCAATTTCAGCATAGACTTGTCATCATTCCTGGGCTGCTGAAACCTTCATACTGTGTAGGAAACTTCCTAGGGAACCAGCTGCTCTATGTCTGTCTTCTCTGCTTGTTCCCTATGAAATACTGAATCTGGGAGGCAGCCCTAAAAAAAAGGAGCAAAGCCTTATATAACTATTTGTCCTCTCTTGTTGGGTACCTCTAGCAGTGCTTATCAGCTCTGGGCTACAGCCCTTGTATTGAATACTATCCTGATGGAAACCACCTGCATGTCTGTGTTTCTGGCAATAGGATCTGTCCCTCTGGTACCACAACCAAATGGGTCAGAAGAGAAGATGCTAAGACAGAAGCTTGTGTTGTACCACGGTAAGAGGGAGTTGTTGTGTTAAAAGGTGCACAAAGACAACAGAGAAAGATGGTGTGTCTGGGATAGCATGGCATTGAAGAGTGAGGGAGAACAGCCAGATAAAAGACAGAAATGCAGGAACCATACTGTCTGCAGGAGAAGAATTGACCATATTACCACCCCTTGGCACCTTTTGCAGGCATGGAAAACAACAGACAGCACTGGGAAAAAGCTGTTGTAGAGATTTACAGGCAAACCCTGAACAAAAGCATGAATGTACTGACTGACAGAATAAGTCAGTGAGCAATAGAAATAGGTACCTTCAAGTCAGTCAAAGGGAGGAAATGAGTCCTTCCTCTGGCTGCTCATAACAGGCTAGAGCTATGATACAAATAGCCTGCAAGATTGAGATAAAGTGAATGGAAGACCTGAACAAAAGACTGTGGGAAAGGATCTATCTTAGGAATGGTTCTGTATGACAGAATATCAATTTTCTCTCCAAAGGTTTGGAGAAGGGTAGGGAGTAGCCCTGCTGTCTGTACTGAATTGAGCTTTTGCCTAGATGGATGTGAATGCATAACCAAGGGAACAGCTCAAGATTTATTTTGCAAAGAGGCAGTTCTCCAACACAGAAGACCTACAGATCTTTCAGCAAAATAATTATCCTAGTAACTTCCATGTATCAATAAGATTTCCCAGAGATAAGCTCTACAGGGAAAAGGAAACCAAGAACAAAGCTCCCATGACATGCTGATTTTGTCTAGGTAGAGTTAATTTTCTTCACAGTAGCTAGTATGGGGCTGTGTTTTGGATTTGTGCTGAAAATGGTGTTGATAATACAGAGATGCTTTTTTTATTGCTGAGAAATGCTTACACAGTGCCAAGGCATTTTCTGCTTCTCATCCCACGCTGACACGCACAAGAAGTTGGGAGGACACCTGCCTGACAATGGGAAGCAGTGAATGAATTCCATGTTTTGCTTTAGTTGCATGCACAACTTTACCTGTTAAACTGTCTTTATCTCATGAGTTTTCCCATGAGTTTTCTCACTTTTACTCTTTCAATTCTTTTCCACATCCTGCCAAGGGGGGAGTGAGCTTAGTTGCTGGGGTTAAACGATGACACATGAGAAAGGGGAGGAAGAAAAATGTTTATGTAGAGTATTTTGAAAGGGAGGAGAATTTGAAAAAAATGGTGATGGAGGGTTAAAGGTGGAGAAGACTTCTCAGAGAGACCAATGGATTGAGCTTAATGTAGCTAATGGGGAAGGATGTTGAGAGTGTGGCAATGAATGTGGAATCTGATTACAAAAAAGTTAACTTCTGGCAAAAAAAAATCTCAACAAATCATAGTGAAAGGAAAGTAGGTCTGAAATGGGATGGAATGGAGCTGATGGAAGAGTTTAATGAGTTGTCTGTACGGAGAATGAAAAGAAATTAAAATAAAAAGGGAGGATTGGGCAGTATTTAAAGAATTCAAGAGTCCTGGCATCAGGACAGCTTCTTTAAAGTAGAAGAGATTGAAGTGTACTTCCACAGTGACAGAAAAGAGGCAAAAAGGAGAACCAAGACTACAGAGAATGAAACCTGAACCATCTTAAACTATCAGGTGGAAAAAGGCAGCATCTCCATGGTTTAAAATACTTCTTACAGAAAGCTGTATTAACTGCAAAAAACCTGGTCATATTAACCCTATCTCATTTTGCAAAGAACATCAGTGGTAAAAGGCAATCTCATGAGACCCTGCTGTTGGCTTCAGAACAAGTTCAGAGAAAATCTAGAATCTCTCAGGGGAAATAAGACTTAAATATGAACATATTCTAGTGTTTTTCCAGAAGTAGATACTACAAAAGGATAACAATATCACTTCTAGCTAAATTTCTACTCTTGATCTGGGCACCAGGACTTGCAAAGAACTTTCATTCTGTATGGTTAAGGAAAAAGAGAAGGAGTCAATGAGTCAGAGATAAAAATAAAATATAGACCACATTGCAAACAAGGATATTCTTTGGACACATATAGTGTGTCAGAAGACAAACAGTTTCTCATTTAGTTTAGGGAAAATTTCTCATATAGAAAAGAAATAGAAGAGACTTTATTTAATCAAATTTTTTACATGGATTTATCTTATGGATGCTGATGACTGGGCTTGACAAAACCCCACTCCCTACTTTTAACAAGAGCTGGAACAAACAGAATAATTCATCCTAGATTGTCTGTCAGTGCAGCTGAGCACACTGTGGTTAGATTTTATGAACTGTATTACAAAGGCAAGAGAATTATAGTAACAAGAGATTTGAAGGATGTCTTAGAAACATGGGTAGGCTATTATACAGTAAGCTCCCTCAAATGAAACAAGCCTACCTGTTTCAGGTTTGTAATTGAGTCTGGGCTATGATGTAACTTTGCCGTCATATCATGTGAAGGAAACTATTGGACATTACTCAGGAGAGGCCTGGCTGCAGCTGCACAGGGGATGTATGAGCAAATGCCAAAGTGAATTAAAAGAAATACACAATGCACCAGCAGACGGTGCTGCATGTCATGATTAAAGTACACCTGTAAAGCTGTACAAGGAATTTGAAACATACATTCTCTAATTCATGCTTGAGTAAAGCCTGCTGCTACCTACCTTTGAGTTTCATACGCAGTATAATTAACAGATTCACTTAAACAAAATCTTATCCACAAGCTAAAAAAAGTAAACATTCTCCTGCAAGGCTTAGTGCAGGATGCCTGCTGCTTTTCTGTTGACTCCAGCCTGGCCATAATGACACAAGTAGTGTACTTTTCCACCAATTCCAATTCCTTGATGAAGCCTGTCTCTTAATAGGTGATCTTGAATTACCATGTCATGGTTAGAAGTAGATTTAGTGTGAATGTAAAACACATTAATGTGCATTTAATTTAATAAGGTACTGGGTAGTGTTTGCTTCCCTTGCAAATCTGATTGATGAATAAATGAATGAATTGTAATAATCACTTGGAAGGTAACATGAGGGATTCCTGCAATATGGAAACAGAATTATACCCTCTCACCCAACAAGGCTAGGATTCAGCAGAATCCACAGGAGATGGTATTTGCAATCAGTTACTCAAAGATACATTTCTTCTGGGCCTGTGGGAGAGCTCACTACTCCATAAAGTTCAGTTTCTTAATGAGAGAGTGATAATGTCTTCAAGAGCTGGGCCACAGGGGAACGAAATGAAACCAAACTATACAGCAAAAGCCATGAGGATTCTCCAGCTTCAACAGTCAGTGGAGCTGAGTTCACACAATAGAAAGGGCTCCACTTCCACATTCACCAAAACAAGGAAATAAGAAGCACTATGAACAGATTAAGAAGAGCAGCTATAATTCTTTTAAAAAGGATTCCAGCAGTGCAAACTGTACAATTGTAAGCAAGACAATTTGTGAGATTCCACATCTACAAATAGGGACCCTAAATTATACTGCCTGAATTCCTTCCAACAACATTTGTCTCTTGAGTTATCCTGTGCAGCTGTACAGGATTTTGAGGGATCTGTAAAAAAATGTGAAACTTCTGAAAAAGGACAATTTAGCAGTTCAAGACCATTTTCAATTTCCCTTTCCTACAGTGTATGCTGATAAGGCAAATTGGAACAAATGGTGTCTCTCTTACCTCATTATTGATGAAACAGTAAAGAATTGCAACCATCAGCCCCTGAAATCAACAAAAAATAGGAGAACAGTCAGCAGAGCAGTTTCCTTGCTTTGCCAAACAAAACTGCAGAGGTCTAGAGGCTCCACACTGGCATGTCCATGATAAGACTGAAAGGTGGAGACAATCTTTGGCCCCTGTCAGCTCTGATGGCAGAGGAGAGGTTTGACCAAACTATGTCTCAAAGCACATGATCTTAGGAAAAATGAGTTACCGTTTTCTTC